CATCCTTCTTTCTGGCTGATCCCAAAGCTCTCACTGCAGAAACTTCCCTCTCGGCAACCAAGCATAAACCCAGAGCACGGCACGGCAGCGAGCAACGCGCCTGTGCCCCTCCTGCAGTGCCGCTGCGGACAGACCACCCTTCGGCGCCTGGTGGGGGGCTCGGGAACAGGGTCTCTCTCCTCAGAACCCCCTTTTCTCTGTTCTCCTTCCAGCATCTCCGGGCTCGGTACTGCTGCCGTTACCTCACCTCTTCCGACGCACAGCTGACCTCCACGGCCTGCTGGATTTCCCTGCAGCCCTCCCGCTCTCCTTCCCGTTCCGTGGCCCGGCACCGCGTGCCCTGCAGCGTCGGTTTTGATCCAGCCATCTGAGTCCAACTCACAGCAATAAGCTTTGTAGAGCAGATCAAGTACGTACCATTATAACAGAAAAGTAAACAGTTTCTATGTGGAATCTTTCTGTCTTTACTGCTGCAAAATGTCTATCTTTCAGCCACCAAAAACGCAGGTTTTATTTGCCCACTTGAAAAGAGAGAACTGGGACCACGGGGCCCAGAGCTGCCCGCCCTTTGCTGCGGTTTAACTGATCTGCCCTCACGAGCAGGGACGAGATCCCTTCAGAGAGCAGAACACAGTACCCCCAAAGACCCAAAGCAGCCCAGAGAACGTGAATGTTCTCCTCCTGACTAGCCCAACTCCAGGTTTTTGCTTCCTCACATGAAAGGCCAAGCTTTGCCAACAGAAAGTTACCACGTCCTATCCTTAAACACACCACTGACCCACGAGTACTAATTACACACTGAACTACTCTCAGAGCAGCCCCTGTTCCTCTTACGAGACGGGGCAAATCCAAACGCGTGTACCCAAGTTTGAGCTCACCAGGATGCTTCAGTCACGCCGACAGTTGGCGAACAGCAGACCTAGACTTGGCCCTAATAAGGAAAACATGGAGTTATCTCCATCTTTGGTTTCATATTCACCTCCACTGTTCCAAGCACCCACCGTAACCTGCCTGGGACCAGCTGCCTGTACTTCAGATGTCACCAATACTGAATTAAAGGGTTCCAACTGCCAACTTCTTCCCCTTATACTCCCCTTCTGTCTTCTCTGCGTCGGGCTGGAGTGCCTGCCGTTCCGCACATCAGATCCATCTCATTCCCTTGCTCCTCCTCCCTGCTCCCGCTGTACTCTTGCAGTTGTGCTCCACCTTTCCGAGCCCGGGGACAGCAGAATTGCCAACGCCACGTGCCTGGAGCAGCGACAGCCACCTCAGCGCGCACCACTCTGTACGTAACATTTGGACTGTTCTTCTACGTGAATCACTTTACATTTCCCCGTGTTGAATTTCACACGCCGCTTTATTGCCTAGTCATGCCATGTCAGGAGTTCCTCCTGCACGTAGCCACAGCTGACCTCGGTCTCTTCTACCCAGGATAACCTAGTGCCACCAACACACACCAACACCTCGATATTCGCTCCCCTTCACGGAGACGTGACAGAAGAGTCCTTATGACAGATGAGCGGCACAGGTTCCAGCACAAAGCCCCAGGCACTGCCACTGGTGACCTCTGTCTGCTGTAACTTCTGACCACCCATGACCTGCCTTTATTCTCACCTCCACCAGCCCTCTGTGAAGGACCTTCTCAAACAGCTATCAGCAACCCAAGCAGACTATACCCACCTACCCCGTCTACACACTTGCTATCGGCTTCTGGAGACTCTCAACAGGTTGATTCCTTTCCCCACACACCATGTTCATCCGCTCATAGTTTCTACAGATTTTACTGTTACATACTGAGTTTACCAGCTACATCTTTCTTAAACTCCCGTTTTGCTAAAAATACAATGATGGCTTCACGTTTCACATCTTTCCATCATCTGCTGTTGGAGCAGTCTTAAAGCAAACACAGTACCACCAGGAGTAACTCAACGATTTCCCCCTGTGGTTGCCCTAGAGTTCTTGGCTGAACGGTGTCTGGTCCTGGCAGCGTGTAACAGTTCACCCTGCCAGCTTCTCCTGCAAGCCCTCCTACTGACACGGTGCTGAGAATCGTCCGGCAGGTGGAAAGAAAGGATCCAGCACTGAGAATGCTCCAAGCTTGCTTCACCTTGCAAAATGCTTTCCCAGTTTTTCTGCTCTAGCCTCATCTTCTCTAAGCATTCTTTGTATACTCCGACCATTTCTCAGCCTCACAGACTACTTCTTACCTGAAGCCTTGTTCCAGGATCAAGCTGCTCAGCAGAGCAATCAAGAGACAGGCAGTGCTCCCGGTGCAGGTGTTTCTGACGTCCTCCCAGGCCCTCCGCGGACACCAGCAGACCCCCAGCACAGCCGTGCTCTGCTGCTCTTCCAGCTCATCTGGGCTGGAAGCAGATTCTCAAACCCGTGGGAACGACCTGGCTCTTTCTCTGGTGTGTTTACTGGAGCTCCGACTTCTTTTAGCCTGCTAGTGCGTTGACTCAAACCCACTAAAACCCAATCCAGAGAATTACAATAAAATTAAGAAGTACATCGAGAATCCTGTTCTATCAGATCCCCTGACAGACCTCAAGTACCTTCTCTACTAATTGAATGCACAATCCCCACCTCTGAGTAATAATTTCACATTGTTTCAGGCTGCATTCATGTGTCAAATTGTTTTTAAAGGTTGAGTTTGTTTTTCCTAAAGAGCTCGAATGCCAATTAGCATGCATGAACATCGCTCAGCTTTCCAACAGCACGATGAAATGCCAGCAGCGTCGAGGAAAGGGGAACGGCAGCTTTGGCCAGTCCTGCAGCCTGAGTAACCTTCACTCGAGTTCACAAGAGATCCACGACGTTAGCTGGGGAGACCTCTTTTCCGATACGAGTCAAGGATCAGACTATTCTGAGTTCAGAGCTGTTTACTACTGATGATATTTAATCCTCTGGTCTCCTGGGAAAGGAGAAAGAGCAGAGAGCAGCGCATCGCCAGGCACCCCCAGGAGAGGTTTGTGTCTGCTGCGGGGCGAACCGGTGACAAGCCCAGGCACCACGTCGGTGCTGCCGCGGAGCACTGCCAGCTGCCTGGAAAGCCTCCTCCACGCTGCGACAGAGCTGACAGACCCATCCATACTGCTGCCTGATTAAAGACATGGATTTAGCCCTTTGTCTTCCAATTTGCCCATTTAATACAGGCAAATAATACAATATATTGGGGGGGGGGTGGTTTGCTGATGTCATCGTTGGGGTGTAGGGTTGGGTTTTTTCCCTTTAGCTTTGCTTCTTCATTCAAAACATGCGGAGTCTCATTTTACCTGCTGCACTTCCCAGCTTTCTACTCTTTTCAAACCTGAAACTTTTCCATGTCTCAAGCTCTGGGGAAGTTCCAGACTGGCAAAGGAAAAACACAACAGCTTTCACTTTCATGCCTTTCTAAAAGGTGTACATCAGCAATTTAAGGCTTTTTTTAAAAAAACATAAGATAAAAATTAAACCGAAATTTTGACTTAATTTTCTGTTCAGAGAGTTGATATAGAAAACTTTTGTCTTGTTTTTGTTTTGCCCAGCAAGCTGTTTGCTTTAAAAGTTAACCGTGTATTCAGCAACACGTTAACAGCAAAAGGGACTCTGAAGTGGACAAATTGATCGGAAATACTGGTATTCTCCCCGTTTCCTCTCCATTACTTTTACCATGAAAAAGTCAGTCAGTATTGCAGTCACTGTACAATAATGTTTAGAATACCGCTTTGTTGCCAGAATATTCTTCTACAATTCATTTGTAATGCAAATATACCTTGAAATATTAAACTTTATCTTCGAATGTGTTAGACATGTATTTATCTCTGAGTATCTCCGATGTAATTAAGCTGAAGTTATTTACACACAAGAAATCCCAGCAGAGCTGTGGGGGAGTCAGAACTCCCTTCGGAGGGACACCCTATAGTTGTAACCTCTCTCTCTGTTCCACACTGGAATTATTCCACAGTTTCCTACAACACAATTTTCAATCATGAAAACGCTTTAAAGCAATAGAACAGAATGCTAGAACTTCATCTTTTCACACTGCTACAGACAACAAAATACCCTTCACACCGAGCAAGCCAACACAATCCCACAGAACGGCTCTGTTTCGATAAAAGACATTTTTGGAAAACATTCACTGGCACGCTTCAACCGGCTCCCACCGCAAAAGCTGATGCACGCTTTGACAGTCGTAGTAACAGATACAGTTCTATTCCGAGTACCTCTTTCTCCTCAGGGCAATGCTGCCTCATATGTTATACAGAGTAAGAGAAATGACAGCAAAAAGTTTAGCTCATGGGGAGCGCGTGTTTTCCAGTTTGGATTCGAAAGGGTGATGGGAAAGACTGATAAAATACAGAAGGGAAAAAATTCAGCTGACAAACTAGAAAGGTCTTTTCACCCTACTGAGCTTCCAGCTGCTCCATCCACAGGGAACAGTGCAGTTATTAACTTACTTTGCAAGAATTCCTGCAGAACGTGCTCTGGTGAGGATACTCCACAACCAGTCGATACTCAAAGTGCCACATCAGAAACTGAGACGAAATGCCAGGGGAATCCTTTAAGAACCACAAAGGTCTGGTCACCCTGTTCCTCTGACACCTCTGCAGGAAGAGCTCCATGTTCTCTAATTACAGCCAAACACGACACTCGGCTCCGCACTAACGAGCTTACGAACAGCAGACTGGAAGGGACCGGCGCTGGGTCACGGAGGTACTGCTGGCTAACGGAGCTTGAGAGGGCGCGATCTCTCCACAAAGAACGGTCTCGCTACGGAGAGCGAAAGGGACTCTTCAAAGCAGCCCTTCAAGCAAGCGTTCCACTATATTTGATACAGACACCTAAAACTCAGCATTTACAACCTTTTATTTTAGCAAAACCCTTGCTCAATTAAGCATCAAGTTCACTACGAAGGAGAAACAGGATAACAAAGTCATCTCAGAAAGCTTCTGAACCACCAGAAGGACGCGAAGTCACCTTTTTCACTGTTCAGGGAAAACTTTTACTCGTAACTTTACCTTTCCACGACGTCCTCCCCGTTCCAGCAGGTCGAGCTGTCTCTCATCACCAGGTCCCCATCACACAGCCGCTCCGCTATAGAGGCATAAAAGGTTCGGGATCGCTTCATGTAACTGATGAACTCTCTGTAACGTAGGAAGAACACGTTTAGCAACACAACAGTCAGCTTGTGGTTTAAGCCCCCAGCACCTTAACTCTCCACAAGACTAAAAGTTTAGAACCTGTACAGAAACTAAGTCACCCAAGTTGATTAATTTTTATTTCTACTCCTATGTATCACCCAGTCTTACCTAGTCCAGTGTCCATACACACAATTACACACACAGGGTGGTTTTAACAAAATACGTTACCATATCCCAAATAATAACAAAACACGTTAACAAAATCTGAAATAAGTCTACACCTACTGTCTCTCTATAAACAGATTAAAAAATCATGAGAGAACATCATCATTAAAGGAGCATGCTTTTTCCTCTGTTACTGGAAGTGAATATTTCTGTTGCCTGCACATGTGAGATTAATTAAGCACATCATCAGCAACCCCTGGGTAGAAAAGGCTTCCCAAAGCCAGCACCCCCTCACAAGACCTGCCATCTGCTCCGAGTACCCGCCGCATGCAGCCACAGCACAGAAAGCCATCTCCTTGAGACGCGGTGGGGCCAACTCCCCCCACCATCACCACCCATGCCGCACTCTCACTGAACGAGGTTTCTCTCCCATCAGGTCTGGCACCTCACCAGGGAAGGTGCCAACACTCCCGGGCAGTATGAACAGCCCGTTTCTGATCGTGTGTGTATGGAAAACTGCCACGTGGGCAGACCGCTGCCTCTTTTATAATCTGATTTTACCTAAACACCCGGCTGAGGTAGCCATAAACTGTAACAAAACGAGTGTTAATTCAGCGCCCAGCTGAGAGTCTTTGAGAATGCGAAATTCCCCCATCTCTTTAGAGAACCCTCTCAGCTCCAGAAGCTCCTCTTCGGTGTAAGATGGTAAAGATCCTGAGAGCAAGACGCAGGACCCAGACCTGAGCTGGAGCTGTCGCAGAGCTCCCTGCTTGTCTCAGTCCCCCAGCAGCCCACTGGGAAGGCCACAGGACCCGTGCTGGCTGATGCTGTGTCTGCCTGGCAGGCTGTAAGGGGACACGGCACTGGAGGGGTGCCCAGGGAGACGGGCCGAAGGAGCTCGGCACTAAACCAGTTCGGATTTATTATTCTCCTGGGAGCAACGGGTACTTTAGACAATACCAAAGGCCGCTGCTAGGTATCCACCCCTACGAGGTTTTGGCAGCGGTCATCCCGTGGTCCCAAGGAGCTAACTTTCCTAGCCATGCAGGAAAGCTGTTATTTTAAGCAAAGAAAAAAGCAGAAATTTGGGGGCTACGATGGCGGAATCGGCATTTCCACCTCCTGACCACCAGCTTCTGAACGTGAGCTCTAGGTATTTCCACAGCAAAGCCGGGCCCCGACAGCAGGCCACCAGCTGACAGAACAGTTCTGCCAGGCTGATGCCGACACTAAGGATTTTACGGGTTCCAAAGAGACATTTTCTTTGAAGGAGGAAACGAGCACCCTGCTGAAAGCCTACAGCTTGTCTTACTGGGCTCACCCCAAGAGGCCGAAACTCCTGAGCGTTTGCAGCAGAGTGGGGCTCTGACAGCCCAAAGCAGCACCTCAGCCAACGCAGAATTCCGTGTCAAGCTCTTAACCTTAACGAGTGAAAACATTTACTTTTCATCAGTGTAAAACTAAGCACACTGGCGTAGAAAACGTGCAGTTTCCCAGCGCCCCTAAGAGCAGTAATCGAAAGTACGCCGACTCCCAGGCACAGCTGAAACAGCAGCTCACAACGGGGACGAGCTCAGCGCAGAGACAACACAGAATGTCACCTGGTTTTCGTTCTTACCGAGAGATTTTTTTCAAACTTCTTGATTTGTCATTCTTTGAAGCTTTCAGAGGCAGAGAACTGGAATAGGCCGGGAGAATAAGCATCAACCGGGAGAGGTTGGGGAGTAGGGGAGAAGCAGGAATTCAGGCAAATGAGGAAAAGAAATGAGAAACAAAAGAGAAAAGTAAAAATCATTTGAAAGAAAGGTCATCAAGCACATGCACAGGTTAATACAAGACAACAAATAAGGAGGAAAACTGTCATGAGATTTATCCAAAGCATACATGCAATTAACAATGTCAATGCAATACTGAAAAAATACAACTGAGGTTGCTTCTCCAATCATTTTCAAATAAGAGCACAATTACAAATGGAGCACACAGCCAAAAGCTGAAAATAAATTCAGTGGTACATAAATTAACTATAACTGACACCAAATGGAAGAACTGTAAATATACAAAGCTATGCAAGAAAACAATGGTAAATGCTTTACAATGAGCACCATGGGCAGGGGGGTATGAACGAGTGGCATTCACGTTCTGGCACAACGAGCAGTTTGCTGTCTGTTAATAAACAAGGTAAATGGATTTTTTTGCTGTTCAGTTCTAGTCAGATTGCACCACTGGAAAAAAAAAACCCCAACTCTGCAAAACAGGAGACAGGCTCTAAGGTTACACTGGAGGCAGAACTGCGGGAATGACCCTGGTAGCTCTTCAGTGCATCCTGTGGCCCTGATATCCTGAGGGCCCTTAATTAACACCGACCACTGCATGTAACATTAACATCACGCTGCAGTTTTCCCCTCGTGTGACTCGATACCCCATCCCGCTCCTTCTCACACCCATACTCTCCTGTGCTCGGTGACACTGGCCGCTCCAGCTAACCCCCCTGGCAGGAGCAAGCACGGCCCTGGGCAGCCCGCAGACCC